GCTGCAAATGACGTTTTGTTGTCGGTTTTCATGGCTGAGTAGTATGAACATTACTTTTAAACGAAACATTTCAACCATGAAGAAAAGTTTAGAGACTTGCATAAGAAACATCCTTGTCTTCCCAGGGAGTTTTTTTTTATGTTAACATTTTGTTTCACATGTAGTTCACAGTGGAAGCCCCTTTTGCAAGCTTCCGGGATCTCATTCCCCACCCTGCCTGCCTGGAGGCCACCACTGCTGTGAAATTAGTGAGTAGCCTACTAGTCCATTTTTTATGCATGTATATATACATGTCTGACCTCATAACCAATATGGCTATGTGCTGTAAAGAGGTATCACAATTTACATACCTTGCAGTTTGCTTTTTTCACTCAGTGTTCTATTTCTGAGACGTGATCATGTTGATACATTCAGTGATCATTTCTACAGCATCCCTACCTCCGAATATGAGCCAAGATATGTCCTACGCTGGACAGCTTTCACAGGCCTGTGTGTAAACTGCATAAAAATGCACCCAGCAGCACGGCTCTAGAGGATCCGCAGGTGCAAGGGTTCTGCAAATATACAAAGCAGGTATGCACAGCTTTCACAGGCACTCTTTGCCCTCTTGCTCACCCTCAGGAGAGGCAGTATTGGCTCCCCCTGACGCACTGACTTGCTAAGAATCAGCCTACGGATCAATATTATTTTAAAAACAAAATTGTTATTGCACAAGTGCTTATTAACAAAATTGAAAATGTCACTTCATATGTCTTTTATAATGTGCTTGCCCAGAGCTCATGTTCTGGTGTTAAACTATATTGATGGCTATCTAAGCTCGATATTCAGTATTTATTTATCAGTTAAGGAGCACCGTTAAAAAAAAATACACGAAACATAAAACTTGCCATCTTAACCAAGGGTAACGGGTGTTAAGTACATTCACATTGTTGTGCGACAAAATCAGTTTATTACTTTAAGTCCTGTGTGCTACCAGTCTAGGTGGAAAAGGGACGAAAAGGCAGAGAAAGAAAAGTAGGTAAAACGATGTAGGCAAAAAGAACAGCTTTGTCGTTGACTGAACCCAGACTCCACCATTAAAACGCTGTGTGACTTTGGGTAAGTAATGTCACCTTTCTGTGCCCTCCCGAGAGGTTGGTTGGGTTTAGATGATTTCTAAGAAGTCGTTCAGCTCCAAAAGTTCTTATATAGAAAAAGCGAGGAGAAACGCTTAGTAAGGATCAAAAGATGGGGAATGCCACCAATAACTACAGGCTTCACCCGCTCACTGAGGTGTTGGTGAAGAGGATACAAGCTGTTCACGGGCCGGAATCCTGTCTGCTCTGTGGCTTCAGCCTGGAGCTCTGCATAGGCCAGATGACTACCTCTACCTGCACCTAGTGCCACCCTCAGCACCAGGTGACCCGCCTCTTAACCACCTCCAGTCCCCAGGTCCCCAGGGGCACAGTGATTCTCAAAACAGGTTTTGAGGGGTCTTGCAATAATACCACCCCAGGCTTGGGTGAAGAGGCGTCGCGCTGTCTCAGCAGGGAAGGCTTTGCAAAGAGGGCTGCGCGCATTTAAGAAAAACGCTCCCAGAGCTCGGAACCGCTCCACGGGGGCAGGACAGCGCCACACATCACCCGGGACGCGAGGAAGGGAACAACGAAGCGCG